ATCTGTAATGGACAGTATTTTTTGTTTCGAGAAGGCGGTTCATGTTACTCAAATATTCTTGAGCGGCCCGGTCTTGTTCTGCGTCGCTGAAGTACATTGTCGGGTTGAAGGTCAAGGTCGACGTGTCTTTATTTGTCTCTGCGCTCATTGTAGTTTCTCCCATGGTCGTAACTAAGCGGCGCTACCAACTATTATGAAACAGCCTGGAGCTGTCTCTTAAACTACGAGTAGATCGGTTTATAGATAGTTCAGCCTTAGTGGATAGGCCTAGTCTATCTGTCGTATTCTCGATGTCTAAAAAGTGTTATCCTTCTTCAGGGATGTCTCAGCCTCACGCTCCTTTATAGTTCGGAACCCTTCTATACAGTAGGTGAGGGGTAACCCCGATCAGGAATGTTTAGACTCTTCGTCCTTCGTATTATACAGGATGCCCAGAATCTATAATCTGGCTCATGTCGTATCATAACACTCAAACACAAACTGGGCGTGTGGCGCAGTTGGTAGCGCGTTCCCTTAGCATGGGAAAGGTCTCCGGTTCAAATCCGGACTCGTCCATTCTTTTTTTGAACTTATCACATAATTTTTGGGCTGTTTTTGCGGCTCTCATGTAGTATCGTATGGCTGTGTATTTATAAACGAGTTTAGCAAAAAAAAATGAACGGAAGAAAACTTTATCTGATGATTGGCTCTGTGAAACAAGCACATGAGGCAAACCATTAGGACATCCAGGTCAGAGAACAGTGTGCTAAAATTACCTACGCTCGCCAATAAATAATCAACATGTGGTTTGTAGTAGATGAAAAAGAATAGGTGATTCAAAAGACACCAATAATGGAGGGGAAAATTACACAGAACCATCGCCACATCATTCACTTTCTATTAATCTACTTGTTTAACAATGTGAGACACACGAGGTACTGAAATAGGCTTACGCGAAACTGAGGTCTGAAGCGCTACACAAGGATTCGCACAGCCATAAAATCGGCTACGATATTATCGGCTACAATATTACATATTTGAACGGTCATGTCAACAGGAGCATTTAAAGCCATGTTACTGACTACAATGATGGCCAACACTGGTTATTTCAATGATTTTGACATTAATCCCATATTTGCTATGAGAAGAACAGATAATCTTTTTACTCGCACAATCGCCGAACTAAAGTCAGACTCGTGACTAATCCAGATTGGCCTCATGGTTTAGATTATTGTACAATTGGCCGCGAGGACATATACTCCCATGAGATGACTTACGATACCTTGGGAAACAAGCTGTACCATAAAAGCGTCTTGCCCGGATTCACCGGCTGATGTTTGAAGTGAATTTCTGACAGAGCATTAAAGTATCCCATTTTGGTGAAACTTCTTGAAGAATTCAGCCACGCAAATAGATAAATTTTGGACACGCTTTTAGCTTGAAAAAACAGACATGAATCCCCTCTACATGCCGCCCGGATTTGCTAGTGATTGATGGAGGCAAAGCTAGGTTTATTCGGATGCCGCGGGATATCCGTACCTGCCTATAGCGGTGATCGGTTACGTGAGCATTGCGAAGCCGATCTGGAGACTTGCTGCCCAAATATTGTATTCATTTTTGGATTTCTCTTTCGTTGTGAAGTGACCCCTTTCACCCTGAAAACAAGTGCTAGTGATACAGCCGTCTCTCGAAATGGCCAAAAATACACTTTGAGTGGCTAAGCTAGAAGCCAGGTTCCCAACTTCTGCCTGTTTTGTCTTGTCAAAGAAAAAAAAAAAACCTTATCTGGTATGCACATCAATTGGCCCCTACAGTAGGTTTTCTCCAACCCAATCCCAGACCAAAACAGTCCTTCTGCCCCTCACTTCATAATTCGTTTTTTTAAAAAAAGACTATCACCCCGAGAATGGGTCTAGCCTGAACAATCGCATAAGCGTGTCTCTCTGCAGTCCGGGATCTTATCCGCCGCGCCTTTCTGCAGGAGCCATTGCACGGCGTGCTTTGCCGAACGCTAGGCCGGGCCGATGGTATATAAAGAGAGCAATCACCCACGTCGATGTGATTCGGGCCGGAAATCTCTCTCGAACTTTTTCTATAGTCTAATTCAGACATTTCTCTCTGGCCGACCAATTTAGCTTAAAATATCTCGCGCAATGTACCCCAGCCCTTTAGCTGTGTCCTCCAGAAAGCTCACCGACAACATCGTGCTTTCCGTGACCGGATTTAAACGGATGGGCCGCGTGAATTTCGGCGCCCGTATGGCTCTTTTCCGTTTGCAAGACTCGGTGGTGGTCTGGTCCGCCATTCCTTTCAGCGATGACGTCAACAAGGCCTTGGAATTACTCACGGGCCAGGCAGCCGGGTTCAACGTCACTCATCTTATAGTGCCGGACAGCGAGCACACGATGGCTGCGGCCTCTTTCAAACAGGAATTCCCAAGAATGAAGATCATTGCCATGGAAGGCGTCCAGTTGGGCAAGGGTGTCTCGCCCGATTATGTCGTGACCTCCAAGTACGGCAATAAGAAGATTGACGCAGAAACGTTGAGAGAAATCGGCGTTCAGGAGCCCCAGATCTTGGACAACTTCGAGTTTGTCTACCTCCCCTCACATGGCAACAAGGAGCTTGTCGCGTACCACAAGGAGTCCAAGGCCGTGTTCGAGGCCGACATGCTTTTCAACTTACGCACCGACGTCCCCATGGAACAATTCAGTCCTGCCACCGGCTTTCCGGAGAACTACTACCCATTTTCCGGGATGTCGTTCCTTGCCAAGTTCCTCAATGCAGACAGCAAAACGGGGCGGTTCCTTTTCCGCAAGATGGTCAACACCAAGGCGTCTGCCGAGGGACTCCAGGCAATCAATGCCTGGGATTTCGACACGCTTGTCATGTGCCATGGGAATGTCATCGAAAAAGGCGGGAAGGCGGCCTTCCAGAAGGTCTTCCTGAGTGTCTTGAACTGAGTTAATTCATCGTCTCGTTCGCGCCTCGGCCGGAATTCAATACACTAACACTATCACATCCCACTTGTTTCGGTCCATTGCTACTCTTGTCACTTTAATTTTGCAACGATTTCTTCTTCTACTTCTTCTCCCTTTAAACGATTCTTTTCTTGCTCACGCCCGAATCACGTGAGGGAGATCAGGATGGCGCCTGGCTTTAACAGTGTGGAGCTTGGCTCTTTTTTCCACGTTCTCCACTTCATCGAGGCCCTGGGTTTGCATCCCGTACCTTGCGCCGACTCGGGCACGGTTCCGCGTCATTGAACTTGGCCCATTTATCGAAAATCTAATGCATCGGTGCGCCGTGCTTCTCGCCACTGCTCAGTCACATTATTAAATGCTTGTCCTCAGCAGTCGTGGTTAGTATAAACATATTTATAACGCCTAATTTGTGGCCACAGATGGGAACCCCATAATAGAGCCACTTTGTTAACGAGCATCATGCTGATACTCATAGAAAGCATCTGGAGCAGATTCCGGCTAGCGGCAGTATATAGGAGAAATACACAAGTCCACTTGGCCACGTGAAGTAGAGTATCAGTGGTAAACACAGTATAGATACGTGCACCAATTGAAAACTCTGTGTTCGTTGTTTAAAACACAACGTGTTGGTGCAGAAGTCAGGGGGGGGTTGTCTTTTGTCTCCTTAGGACACATCCTATTTGAAACACAACAATATGAAATACAATACAATAACTTTGGACAGCTCTCAAAAACCTGCCTTATGTCGAACGCGGTTCGTCCCTTGCCGTTAATCATGACCTGGTAATCCTCTTGACACGCAACTGTAAACGAATATACTGCGTTACTGCTTTCTTGTAAAAATGTCCTGTAGTAGCAGCGTCAACCCAGGTGGTTGGAGAATGCTTTTTCATTGCGGCCAGCGACGTATTTGGGTGTGCCTTGAAGATCGAGGTGATTTGTTTAGTTCACCCCGCGAGTTGTCGACCGGGACAGACTTTCTTCTGGAGTCATGAGTTTAGTGAAGTCAAGCTCTTTCTCACTCCCTGAAATTCCTTAATTTATTTTAAAAAAAATCATATGTATTGAAGGATACCGCTCCCCAGAGACAGGGACGAAAACTATAGGTAACCTGAACACTCGGGGGGGTTTTTCGGTAGATTCATCTGATTAAAGGGGCAAAACTATATAAATAATATATATAAAAAACCGGGTGCGGGAAACCTCTTACCGCTTTAGGGGCTCGATCTCGAGCAAGAAAAATGACATGAGCTGAGTTTCAAATTCAACAGACACATGGTGTTTTGGCATGAAATAAACTACTATTATTTGTTTTTTGCTGGACTAGTTATTGCAATGTCATTCATTCTACAACAAAGGGTGGTTGGTGTAATGGCTAGCATTAATGCCTTCCAAGCATTAGACATGGGTTCGATTCCCGTACCACTCATATTTTTTCACAATCATTCAATTCATTAAATTTACATCAAACTATTTTTTCATAGCAGACATATTTTGCTCAATGCTATATTTTCTCTCTCTTCTCCTTTTACGTCTCAAGAACTCTTGTGTGCGCGAATAGGCACCTCTCTTGATGATAGTGAGAACGTTGTCCATAGTAAAATTCGGGAAGAACGGGGTTGCGAATCGGTAGACCTTCAGGACTGCATCCTTTCTTGCCAATCGTGGAATTCTGCTCCATGAGCTTTCACCGATTTTTAGCCCGCACAACTGATCGCACATCGCAAGGATCACATTTTCAATATCCTTCACCAAAGAGATGTCGTAATTGTGGATTCCTAAAACAAGGGCCAATTGTCTGCGAGTGAGACGCGAAACGTATCGATTTTTCAACGCAGGAAGGACCTGCTTGGGGCCAGTATCCAGAGCTGTTTTAGGGATGTCGTATTTACCAGATTGCAACATGTCATCTAAAGACTCGATTTTCTTGAAGATTGGAAGTCTGTATTCCTGAGCAGGCCCGCTTAAGCTTATGATGCCGAGAAATGACTTCAACTTTGTGAAGTTGAGCGTGACGAGATAAGCACTCGTCAGCAGTTTCTGTTTGGGTTCCATGAAAGCAGCTAGATCTGAACATATAGCGAAACTGCCCCTTACGTTCTGATTTACCATTTTCATGCTTGCAGTTGTAAAACTCTGAAAGGAATCAACAGTTTCCGTCTGGGTGTTCTGGTGGTCTGGGGGAGGCTGTGGTATTTGTATATCCAGAATAATTCTAGAATCTTCGTCAAAAAGAGACTCCCAGGAGAGAGTTTTTGAGTTCGATGTATACGATGTATTAGCAGGTGTCATACATAAGAAGTCCGAAGAGCTTATGTATGTATACTCTGTCTGAGAGTATCCGCAATCTGACTCCTGCTTTATTACAGGTGAGTAAGGAACTTGGCTCGCCATTGACACATTCTCGGTTCTGGGTGTGCTTTCTTTAAGTGCGTTGTTGTAGTAAATCATGCCATGTTCATATGAGTATGTGTCTCCCATTATATCCTCCCAACACGCCTTACTAATTGTGCAAGGAGAAGAAGGTATCACAGGTGCGTCATAAAACATGATATTTGAAAATCCAGCTTTCTCTGTCATCAACTTGAAACTTGTTCTTGATAGTTTTCCAGGTGCTTTTTAACAGCCAAAATTTTCGTCTCAGAGAATGGTTGACGTCTTTAAGCACCCAAAGATTTCGGTTTATCACAGGGATTCAGGAGCTGCTTTCAGGGCAGAGCTTTCCCTTTACCAGTAGATTTAGCACCGTGAATTGTAAAGGAAGGCACGATATGACAGTAAGTTTGAGAGTATGTAAATTGCAAATAAAAGCGAAAACAGAATAAGAGAAAACAAGGAGACGACAAACTGGGCTGAATTTACCTGCTTTATATATTTGAGGAGAAACGGACAGAAATTGCTAGCTATGGGAGATCGGAATTGTGGGGTAGCCCCGTTTTGGTATGGCTTCAATTTCTGCAATGCATGAAAAACAAATGGCTCATAAGGGCCGAGACCACGGCTCAATAAACGGGAATAACTCAGAAAAGAAAAGAAATTATATAAGAAAAACGAAAATTTGAAAAAGAAAAAAGCTTACAGATTTAAATCCCCGAAACCTTGACGTACACCTTCGATATGGCCGCGATCAAGAGTGTTGTCTCACGCTGTGTGTATAGAAAAACTGTGAAACACTTTAATGTTGGAGCAACAACAGTGAACTTTATTTTGACCAGCATATTTAATACTAGCTGTTATAGTAATCTAGTTAATCTTCCCTTGCAGCGACAATATAGGACAGATCGAGAGTTACGGAAAACGGGTCGAAAACAATTGACGTAATCCTGTGTTTTTGTCCTTATTCCCAGGAGTGCATGATAAAAAATGTCGTCTTGGAATCGATACAGGCTATAATGGCATTTTCCAGGCGGGGTGATACGAATTGCGCTGGACGCAACTACAGGATGAATGCGAAGAAAAATGTGTAGCGCGTGAAAAACATGAGGAATTCATGCATGAAAGAGTCAAGTTGGCCAAGACAGCTGGCGAGGGGAGATTAGCAGAAATAAATTGAATTCACATGTAGCCATATCTTTCTCCGACCAGCTAAGTTACTTTGAGAATTCCCAGCCTCATTTTTAGTTGTATACATAAAGTTAGCTCGCTGTATTCCATGCCCTTCTTGTCACGAGAAACTGAGGACACAAACACTCAATGGGAAAGCGAAAACACGAAATAGGCCTATGACACTCGCTTTTGATAAGTAAAATACTGTACTCCCCCTTCCCCCTCATCCGTCCACTTCGTCCACCATGCTGACGCGGTCCAGGTGTGTGAGCCGGCCCGTGACGCGTGGCTTTTTGTTCGCGTGCGTTCTGTGCGTTTTGTTTCAGATTTGAACTAGCCGCGCGTGTCGTGCGTTTGCATTCCTGTTTGACATACGACACACAGATACTGTCGTCTGCAAGCACTCTCACCATGGCATGGCTGCATGATTCGCGGATGGTGGAGAATTACGCTACCTGAGCTTCCAAGATATTCTCCACTACCACATTCACATCGGCCTTGAGGTACTTGCAGTTCATCAACACTTGGATCAATTTCTTAATACTAAGATTAATCGTTCCATCGCCGTAGGAGGAAAGTTGTTGCAAAATTGCTTTCCGCAGCGAGCTGTCCATGAATTTCATTTGATCCAAAATCACACTCACCTCGTCGAGATGCAGAACCTTCTTCAACTCAATTGTCTTGGTGAAGTTCTCCACTAAACCCATGTGCTTCAAAACAGAGTACTGTGACGTAGTGCCGATTATGAGCAATCTTCTTCCGTTGGGTGGCCTCTTGTTTAAATTCACAATCAACATTTGCAAGATCTCGTTAGAAAACCTGGGGCCAATGGGCACGTAGTTGATAAGCGTCTCGATTTTATCGATGACGAGGACGTTCAAAGGCGACTTGTAGACATCCCGGAACACATTGTCAATGGTCGTCATCTTCATTGCTTCGGACATTCCCACCAAACTTTCGGCGCTTAACATCTTGATAAATGGGAACTCGGAGTTCAACGCAATCATCGAGGAGATGGCGGTTTTCCCGACCCCAGGCTCTCCGTGCAACAAGACACTGATGAGGCGTTCGGTGTCCGACTGCTTCACCTGTTCGATGTAAGACTTCAATTTTTCAAACACTGAGTGGATTTTCTGGTTGTACTCGATAATTCCGTAGGGGAAGTTCATGTTCAAGTCTTCCTCGTTCACACCAAATGCCGGCTTCACCTCGTTGAGCGCCAATAAAAAGTCGTTTCTCGTCAACTTCATCTTGGCAATGTTCTCGTCCACCTTGGCTATATTTTCGCTCTTGGTGAACTGGTTGATAGCAAACGACGAGGCGGAGTTGCAGAGGCCCTCGAGCTCGGCACCCGTGAAGTTCTTGGTGAGCGAAGCCAACTCGTCGAAATCCACGTCGCTGCCCAAGATGTTGTTGTCGGCCATTTTCTTGGTGTGGATCAACAAAATCTCCTTCCGGCCCTTCTCGTCGGGAAGCGAGATTTCGATCTGGATCTCGAAACGGCCGGGACGCAACAACGCATTGTCGATCAAGTCCAAGCGGTTGGTCATTCCGATGATCAAGATGTTGTTGAGCTGGTCCACTCCGTCCATCTTCGCCAAGAGCTGGTTGACCACGTTGTCGCCAACGCCTGTTCCGTCACTTCTGCCACCGCCCCTCTGCTTGAAGACCGAATCCAACTCGTCGAAAATGATGATGTGCAACAGCGAGTTCTCGCCCTTGGCCTTGTACTCTGCCTCGGCGTCCTTGAACAAGTTCCGGATGTTTTCCTCCGAGGAGCCCACGTACTTCGAGAGCATTTCCGGCCCGTTGACCACTTTGGGTTCCTTCACATTCAACATCTTGCCGATCTGCCTGGCAATCAAGGTCTTTCCTGTGCCGGGAGGCCCAAAGAGCAACAAGCCCTTGACGTGGCGCAAGCCCAATTTGTCGACCAAGTCGGGCGAGATGATGCGCGAGGCAAACGCGCGGCGGAAGATCTGCTGGAACTCATGGTCCAAGCCACCAATGCCCAAGTTTTCCAACTTGAAGTCCGGGTTGATGATGGGGTTTGCTCTGGGCTTGTTGATCATGGCCGAGGACTTGCCGCCCAGCTTCTTCTGCAACTTGATCAACGAGTTTTCGGTGGGGAAAAAGTTGACGGACGTGCCGCCCTTCATCAAAATGCCCTTTGTGGCGATGTCCTGCGACATTTCCCGCATGGGCTCGCCAATCTGGCTCAAGTTGATCACCTGGCACGCGTACACAAAAACAGAGAGAATCTTGCCCTTGTAGTCCATGACCACCGGCTGCGAAGGCTGCAAGATCTGGTTCTGATAGTTGGCAAGAAACACGCTGATGAGGTCCTCCTCGCTGATGGTAGCCGGCGTGGCTTTGGACGAGTTTCGGTAGTCGACCAAAAAGTCCACCTCGCCCAAGTAGTGCGTGTTGTCGGGGCTGCGGTCGAAAATGTTGTACGACTCCACGTCCACCATTTGGCCCAAGGACGTTTTGCACCACTGGCGAAGATTGCCGGCCAAGCCAATAGTGCCCTGTTTCATCGCAGGGTCCTTGGTGATGCCATATACAAAGATGCCGTCGATAATGATGTTGTCTCGCTCGTTGATTTCCGGGAAATCCGCCGGGTGGACGGCGATCAAATTGGCCAAGGCCACCAGGTTTGACGGCGCAATCTCGATTCTCATGTGCTTCTTGAAATACGGCACCGCAGGCGCTTTTTTCGCGGCCTGGTTGTGCGTGATTGTTGCATTGCCCGCTTTCGGGGAATTGCTGACTTTGTGGAAACCAAACTTCTCCATGGCGATTTTGGCTGGGGACAACTGTGGTTTGTAGATGAATAGGTGGCCCGTAGCAGTGCACCGGCTTGGGGTCACGTGCTGCGGGTCACGTGCGGGTCCCAGGGCGTCGGGCAACTGCGAATAGGGCCTCCCGAGGCGACTCCGAAAATACTCCAGAAATCACTCAGAAACCACTCCAGAAACCACTCCAGAAACCACTCCAGAAACCACTGCAGAAACCACTCCAGAAGCGATTCCAAGAGGCCTCTTCTAAAGGCGCTGATCAGTGGTTGGACCAGAAAAGGGCCGGTCGAACCTGTGTGCACAAAGCGACGCCGAGTCCAGCAGCTTTTATTCACTTTCCTGGTTGTTTATTGGATTGGCATTTTTATTCTGTGAACACTGAGTCAGCAGGAAGGGTCTATTCGTATGCCTGATGGCATGATAAGGCTCTAGGAAAGATGTGCGCGCACCCCGAATCCCATGGAACGCCGGGGCCACCATAAAGTACAGTATCCGCGGGTCGGCACAGGACTATGTATTGAGCTTGAGGCTTGGAATTCTGTGATGGTGGCACCTCGGTGGTTATCTACCGTTGTAATCTGTTCCGGTGCAGACTGTTCTAGTGAGGCCTGTTCTAGTGGAGCTTGTTCTAGTGGAGCTTGTTCAAGTAGTGAAGAACTGTTCTAGTAGAGACTTTAAATGAGGTTATTTGAATGAGACTGTTCTAATGAGACTGTTCTAATACGACTGTTTAAATAAAGACCAAGAGAGACTGTTTTGACGGAAACTATTATATTTAGTGGGGACTATTTAGTGGGGACTATTTATTGGGGACTATTTTTGTCAAGATTTCATAGTACTGTCCTATTAGTATTGTTTCGGTAAAGATTGTTTTAAGACAATAAAGACTATTCTAGTAAAGACTGTTCTGGAAAAGACTGTTCCAGTAAAGACTGTTGAAGACTATTCTGAGAAAGAGTTTTTTTTAAAATACTGTTCTAAGAAAGGCTGTTTGGTGAAGACTGTGTTAATAAAGGCTGTTCCAGCAAAGACTGTTCTGGTAAAGACTGTCTTAATAAAGGCTGTTCTGGTAAAAACTGTTCTGGTAAAAACTGTTCTGGTAAAAACTGTTCTGGTAAAACTACTTTAGTAAAAACTGCTCTGGTAAAAACTGCTTTAGTAAAAACTGCTTTAGTAAAAACTGATCTGGTAGAAACTGCTTTAATAAAACTGTTCTAATAAAACTGTTCTAATAAAACTGTTCCAAGAGACTACTCCACTAGACAACAACGACAGCTGCGCCCAGCTCCTCCAATAGATAAGCGGCTCAGACGCTCTCCACACCGAGCCGCTGAATTCAGCAAAGTCCGATTCTCCCACTGCAATGAAAAGTCATGGTTTCACCGAACTTCGGCCATACCACGAAGGCGTGGGAAAACGGGAGCGCGAGCATTTTCAGACCGGGCTTAGAGCCGCAACTCCGGGCCCAGATAATTCCGGGCGGCCCAGGCCACCGTGTGCCAATCGAAATCGGCCCACCTCTTCAAGGCACCTGCCAGCCCTCAAACAGAAAAACCGGGCCAATACATAAAGACACACATCCAACAAAAACTAGAAGATCAAATCAAATCAAAACAGACTGCCCAGCCAGACAATCCAGATCAGACTGCCCAAGCAGACAACCCTGTCCTTACGTAACCAGCCAGACCCAGACCGCGCGCTCACTAATCTGGCGGCCCCGGAAACGTGGCCCCAGTTTCCGCGAGTCGTGGCGGGCCTGCATACAGCGCGCGGGCCGCAGGAGAACTGTGGCTCACGGGCCGCTGGAAATACCCTATTATCCATAGAGGCCGCAGGTATTGGCGGGGTATCGCAAAAAAAATACCCAGATCCCACACCCCTCCTCCCCTTTCTTCGAGGCTGCAAAATCCTCTGAAAACTGGTGGTGTGTCGCTGTTTTGCTGCCATCTATCAGACACTGTCGGCCGATCTGAAGGGACCGAATTGGGGGCCGGTCGTCGGGGCAGCTTTACACAGGCGTGCGACCTTCCAGATCTGGTAACTGGGCGGCCCGTCTAGATCTGCGTCGCTGACTAAATGAGCGGATATAAATACTGTGGCGCCCGCCGCCCGTAATCCGTTTCCCCCTTAGAATTCCACTTCACATCCAACCCAAAAACACATCAACCATAAATCACACCAACACAATGTCTGCCGTCATCCAAAAGCCAGCCCCATCTTTCAAGAAGACCGCCGTCGTCGACGGGGTTTTCGAGGAGGTCTCCTTGGAACAATACAAGGGCAAGTGGGTGTTGTTGGCGTTCATTCCATTGGCGTTCACTTTCGTGTGCCCCACCGAAATCATTGCCTACTCCGACGCCGTCAAGAAGTTTGCCGACAAGGACACCGAGGTGTTGTTCGCGTCCACGGACTCCGAGTACTCGTTGTTGGCCTGGACCAACGTCGCCAGAAAGGACGGCGGCTTGGGCCCAGTCAACATCCCCTTGATTGCCGACACCAACCACTCCTTGTCCAGGGACTACGGTGTGTTGATTGAGGAGGAGGGTGTTGCCTTGAGAGGCATTTTCTTGATCGACCCCAAGGGAACCTTGAGACAGATCACCATCAACGACTTGCCTGTCGGCAGATCCGTGGACGAGTCCTTGAGATTGGTCGAGGCCTTCCAATTCACCGAGAAGTACGGCGAGGTGTGCCCTGCCAACTGGCAACAAGGCGCCGAGACCATCAAGCCAACGGTCGACTCCTCCAAGGAGTACTTCGGCAAGGTCAACAAGTAAGCTGCGCACGCGTGTAATTAGGGCTTAGGTGGTATTCAGGGAGCTGCGCGTGGCGTTCTGTAGCTACTTTCCATCGACATTAATAAAGAGTACAAGCCACTTTTCTGTAGACGGGCCATGGCTGCGAAACGCCTACGAACTGACCGATCCAGCAGTTGGTTTGCTGTATGGGAATTTTGAGGTTTCCGAAGAGTCGTTCCTGTGTCGGGTAGTGCCGAGTACACGAGACAAGGCCACATGAAATACGGGCCGGAAATGGCTGGATGAGAGCTAGCAAGCCCGGATGTTGAGAGCATAGTAGTCGTGGATATATTAGATTTGATAAGAGGATGGGGGGCGGGGTGTTTCACATTGTGAAGCGATCTAAAACGATGAGTTCGTTATAGTTAGGGCGCGGGGTGTATAGCGCATTCTGGTGCATTATAGTTCAATCGATTCCAAGTCAATTCGATAAAACAAAATAAATCAAATTCAGTCTATTATCCAGTCAAACCGAACCCGGTTGAATCCAATCCATTACATACAACAAGAATGAGATTCAGCCAATTATCCAGCTAGATCGAACCCAATTAATTGCAGTCCAATCCAATCGATTACAATATATTTCAACAGAACCCATTCCATTACGATCCATTCCAATCCAAGAGATCAACATGAAATTAAGTTCAGCCAATTATCCAGTTACATCGAACCGAGTTAATGCAATTCAACTCAATTCCAATCCAATCTATTCCAATCCAATCCATCTCAATCCAATCCAATCCAATCCAATCCAATCCAATCCAGTCCAATCCAATCTAATCCATCCACGAGTCTCGCCGCATACCCTCCTGGGCATCTATACACTAGAAGCTCGCGACGCTCAGCGCCCGGGCCACCTGATCTAGCCGTGCCGCGACTCAAGTGCACGACTGGCACCGCACCCAATAAAACACGCCGTTCTGTCTGGCCGCCCACAGTTCGGCCCCCATCTTCTCTCACGTAGCATGCACGAACCCGTGCTTTTCTACAAGTTCGCCGTGGACCTGCAGGTGTTTTTCCGCTCGGCCCACACCTACGCCCTTGTGAACCTCAAGCCGTTGGTTCCCGGCCATGTATTGGTGGTCCCGCTCCGCACCAGCGTGCTTCGTTTCGGCGACTTGACGCCCGCCGAAAGCCAGGACTACATGGCGACGTTGCAGGTCGTGCAGCGGCTCATTTCCCGGGTCCACCGGGCCGACTCGCTCAACTTGGCCATCCAGGACGGGCCGGAATCGGGCCAGTCGGTGCCGCATCTCCACACGCATATTATTCCCCGCTTCAAGAACGACACGCATGACGACAGCATCCACAGGCAGCTCGAAAACACCGACTTGGCCGCTGCGTACGCCGGCTTCTTCGCGCGCAAGAAGACGTTCCGGGACTCGCCGGGGTTCGTCTCCATTCCAGATGCAGACCGGCATCCTCGGTGCGAGGAGGACATGGCGAAGGAGGCTGCGTGGTTGCGGGCCGAGTTGGCCAAGGCCGACGGCGCGGCGTCCTTGTGAGGGGGTCCTGAAAAGGAGGCACGAGGGGGGACAGGGCTGCACTAGACTCTATTGTCTTCCACTGTTTTTGGCTGCGGTTTAGGACACGGCTCGCTGCGGGGGCTCATGATAGCGTAGAATGATTAACATGGTGGGTGGCCTCTAGCTGCTGGCGTTGGGCCATCTTCAGCTCTTGGCCCAGAGCTGCTCGATAGGGTGCAAGCCGACGCCGCCAAGAAACCAAGCCCCGTTGGAGCCAGAAGTGAAGGTGTCTTTTGGTTGGATTGAATGTGGCTCAGCCAGAAGTGAAGGTGTATTCTGGTCGGATCGACTGTTTCCGCCAGAACTGAAAGTGTATTCTGGTCGGCCAAGTGTTTCCGCCAAAAGTGAAAGTGTCTATTGGTCGGATTGGGTCTGGCTCCGCCAGTTGCGGACGACGGGAGTCAGAATACCGAAAAGTACGATTCATTGCCGAGATTGCTGCCTTTGTTCAATGGCGTACAGTGTGCCGCCACGAAACGTGTGTGCCAGATAAGCTTTTATGGCAGGCCATGAGACGGCCCTCCTCCACCACAAGGTTGTTTGCGGCGTGAAAACGTTCGGTCCTGCTCAATGGCGGGAGCCGCAAATCTGCTTGGGCTGTTTAAGTCATTGCTTATGACCCCAGACCACCAGCTGCTTCCAGCGCTACCATGCACCAGCTACTGCCAGTGGGCTCCTTTAGTTGACAACGAAAACGAGCCAAGAGTCAATACGGCAAATAACGTACAGGCTTTGTGGTGGCTTGCAATTGCTCAGATGAATCATTGCTCAGATGGATCATTGCTCAGATCATCAATTGCTCAGATAACCAATTGCTCAGATAATCAATTGCTCAGATAATCAATTGCTCAGATAATCAATTGCTCAGATAATCAATTGCTCAGATAATCAATTGCTCAGATGGATCGCGCAGACGGATCGATGGCTGAAATGGATCAATTTCTCAGGTGGATCGAAAAGTCAAGGCAGGCCGAGATGACGAAGGGGAAACGAGATTTACGTGGTGAACAAACTAAGAGCAGGAGGGACTTGGTGGTTACAGAAAGGAAATAGATGAAAACACAAGAGCCACAGTGGCGAGGATACCAAGACATGATTTGTTGGTGCTACGACGGAGGTATACCGGATTCCCCTTTCCAGTAGAGGATATCGACAAGCACCAGCATTGAGCAACCGATGAGGCCCACCCCAAGACATGTGATGAGCTCTTTCCAAGCCAGCCGATGAAACTACGATGATGGTTCGATTTCTAAATTTACGCTGGCGGGCACGTCCAACAGCTGCAGTGTCTAGGAAGTCAAGGAGAGCACCAATTCATTCCGGGCCTATCGCAGCAATAAGCCAGCAAGAGAATTCCGCGGCCAATGCTGGAGGAAAGCATGGCACTACCAATTATACAATCACAACTGCAAAAAAAAAACCCCTAGTCCTGAGTTTGGCTGCTCGAGGCTTTCTAGAAGCTGTGCCCCAAAACATACAGTGGACATATAGTGGACCCATATAGTGGACCCATATAGTGCACCCATTTACTGCACCCGTTTACTGCACCCATATAGGCCCCATATATGGACCTGCATAGTTGGCCAGGGCTTCGGCCCACGAAACACGACACCGTTTTTGCCCAGACAAAAAAACCGTTTCCGCCACAATGTCAAGTTCACACCCACAGCACCGCAATTCCAGCACCCGCCCCACGTCCTCGAAAACCACACCCAAATGATCCCCAAAGCCACCCCCACAACCACCACCCAAAGCACGGCCGGCGTGGCCCGTGTGCAGGACGCGCTGCTCGCCCATCAAACTCGCCCGACCAGGCCCGATCCCGTCCATCCACCGCCATGTCTTCCGAGCCGCTAGACGAAATCCAGTGGAAGTCGCCCGAGTGGATCCAGCAGTTCGGCTTGCACACCGGCAACGTGCTCGACTACTTCTCGGAGTCGCCGTTCTACGACCGCACGTCCAACAACCAGGTGCTCCGCATGCAATTCCAGTTCCAGCAGATGCCGCCCAACGTCCATCCACAGCAGTACTTGCAGACGCGGTTGGCGGAGATGGTGGGCACGGAGTTTGTCGTGGCGTTTGTGCGCGAGCCCGACTTCTGGGTCGTCCGCAGGCAGCGCCGCTTGGACCCCCACAACACCATCACCGAACACGACTACTACATCATCGGCGCCAACGTGTACCAGAGCCCGATGATCTACGACGTGCTCGCGGCGCGGTTGCTCTCGTCGGTGCTCTCGATGAAGAAATCCGTGGCCTTGCTCAACCAGATGTCCACGTTCAGCATCAGCGAGGGCGGCCACACGTATCCCAGCGAGGCTGCGGGCGCAGCCAGCGGCGGTGCTGCGGGCGGCAAGGCGCAGCTTTCTGCCGGCTCCGCGGGTTTGGTGGGCACGCCCACGAGTCTGTCCAACCCGGGAACCGTGGCGCAGACGACGGGGGCCACGGACATTGGGCTGGCGGGGCCCATGGCCGAGACCTCGGGCGGCGTTTCCACGGAGGTGCTGGCCGCGGCGTTTGAAAACCTACTCAACAGCGTGGTGGCGCCGGTGGCGCCGGAGAAAAGCATCTACATCGACGACATTCCGCTCTATGGGAAGGGCAGCACGGTGGAGCAGCTTGGGCTCGTGGTGAACCTCGACGACGAGTAGGTGGCTTTGGGCTGTTGGTGGGCGCTTTTCTGAAGAGCTTTTGAGTTGGCTTTTGAGCTTTTGAGCTTTTGAGTTGGCTTTTTGCCGTTGGCTTTTGGGTTGGCTCGATTTGCCTTGAGCTTCTGAGTTGGCTTGGTTTGCCGTGAGCTTTTGGGTTGGCTCGATTTGCCGTGAGCTTTCGAATTGGCTCGATTTGCCCCTGAGCTTTTGAAGTAACTTGGTTTGCCATTGAGCTTCACTTGCCGTTGCGCTTCAGTACTGACGAGCACTTCTACTGTTGAACTGCATGGATCTCTATACCAACCCAAAGTGCTTCTAGAGATAGGGCTAGGAAGGCTTCTTGTGCCACATCCCTGAAGACCGTGGCTTACCTGCGGATCAAGCCACAGTCCATTGTCTGAAGCAGGCTAGTGAGCGACATCAACAATCGTATTCCACACAGTGAGCTTCGGAGGCAGGACTGGCAGATGACTTACCGGTAGGGAATCTAGCCGAAAATAATAAAAACAACAAGATTAGTTCGGTGATGGGGCAGTTGGCTGTGGGCTCTGGTGCTGCTGTGCTCTGCTGGGGTGTTCTTACTGAGCTCTGCTAGGGTCTTTCTGCTGAGCTCTGCTGTTAGAATGTGCTACACAACATTGTTTGCGTCATGCTCACTACACAGCACTCTTGTCGATGGAGTCCTTCTGCTCAAGCTCTTTCGTCTGTCGGCTCTACAGGGCTTCTCCGCTGAAAGCTCTGCTGTTCCAATGTGCTAGAGAGCTCTGCTGTTCCAATTTGCTATAAAGATCTACTTGCTCCTTATCCTGCTGGCTCATCCGCACGGCCCACATCCCAGCCTAAAGCTCGTCCTTGCCCGCGCTCTCCGTGCCCTCCACAGGCAACTCGCCACTGGCCACAATCTTGACTTCCTTGACAGGCCTGTCGGCGCGGTCGGTCTTGGTCTTCTCGATGGTGTCAATGACCTCGAAGCCCTCCACGACCTCACCAAACACCACGTGCGCGCCGTTCAACCACGAGGTCACGGCCGTGGTGAGGAAAAACTGCGAGCCGTTGGTGTTTCTGCCCGCGTTGGCCATGGACAAACGGTACTTTCTGTCGTGCTTCAACGTGAAGTTCTCGTCGTCGAACTTGCCGCCATAAATGGACTTGCCGCCGTAGCCCTTGCCGGTCTCGAAATCGCCTCCCTGAATCATGAAGTTGGGGATCACCCGGTGGAAAATCGACTCCTTGTAGCCGAACTTGGGGTCGTCGGAAACCGCCAACTGCCGGAAGTTCTCCACGGTTCTGGGCACAACGGTGCCGAACAAGCCGATCACAATCCGGCCGAGCTTCTCGCCGCCCTGCTCAATGTCAAAGTACACCTTGTTGGTGATTGGGGGGTTCTCGGCGACCTCCGCGGCCACGGAGAACTTAAAGAACGCAAAAACCGACACGAGGAGTGCAAGAAACGAAAATGCCTTCATCATCAATCTGTTGTTGTTATCTCTACAAGGAAGGCCTTTGGTGTGATAGTGTGATGTTCAGCCACGACGCGGCGTGGTGGACGTTTTGGATATATATAGCGTGAGGCCGCGGTGGTGCATATACCGGCGGGGCGGCCAGGTGCTGGGCCCGGCGCAGTCGTGGTTCAGGTTATCCAGGCTCTAGACTGGTGACGCCTGGAAAGAAAATGCTGATATTCTCCTGGGTGTTTGGAAAATAGGCCTTTTTGGTGAGGGGCGTGTGCATGTTATGTTTTCTGGCACTTGTGATTTTTGGGCTGTGGAATTGCAGTTGTGGCCATGTCAGTGATTGCGAAATATAACTCAGAATGCGTAAGCTTTTCAGGATCTCCTAATCTACCAACGTCGTGGTCCACCGCTTAGATACACAAACAAAAGAGCCTGCGCTTATCACACTCCATCACACACATCCTCATTTTGATGGGTCTGATTGGCTCAATTTATATAACACGTGTTCACATGTAGAGATCGGGAAAGTACGGTGTATTGACCGTTGTCTGGCCGGTAGCAGTGACTTTCGGCACGACCGGCCAGCCAGGGACGGAGAATGGCCAGCCCAATCTGGAACCCCCACACCTGCCCATTGACATGGAGCCCCAGCCTCAGGTCCTACACAGGTTTCCTTCAAAGTTCTGTCATTTCTATCGTGCTATGTACATGGGCAGGTTAGAACTGTCTCTCACCCTTTCTCTCAGCCTCCAATTCCTCGGCAATAAAGCGCTCCTTCTCCTCGGCCCGCTCGAGCGCAATCTTCTTGGCCTTGACGGCCTTGGCCTTTCTCTCTCCACCGTTCTTCTTCTTGCCCTTCTTGTGTTCTCTCAAGGGCTCCAAGTTGTTGATGAACTTGTGTCTCCACCTCAACATGTACCGTCTCGTGGAGACGTCGATGCCTTTCGTCTTCATCAGCTTGGACGTCGTGCGGAGGAACTTGTTCAATTTTCCGTCGAAAGCATCGAGGTGTTCGATCGTGTCTCTGCCGATCAACTTGAAGAAGGTCTCCAAGTCATGCACGTTTTCCTTGGTACGGGTAGAGGTGTTGGTTTTCCAGGCAAAAGCCGATGACGAGAACATCCTGGGACCCGCCGCCAATAGCCTGACGGCTGGGCTGGGCCTTAAGAGTGTAGAAAACGCAAACATGCTTTGTCGTCTGAGAGACTATGGCAGGTGCTAAGTTCGCTCTTTGATTTTTTTCGGGCGTGCGCGAACCCTTCATGCACTGACGAGTTCAATGAGAGGGAAGAAGACAGACAAGTAGGGAGAGAGACGGGAAATGACCAAGCAAGGGAAAAAGAGGGAACGAAGGAAGATACAAGTGCATAAGAAGGGGCGAGAGAATGAGACATGGGAGCATGATGTATGGGGGTTTGAGACAAATGATGACGCATGAGATATGGGAAAGACGTGAAGAGAGACGTGAGAATTAATAAGGAACTCGACGAATAAGATAATGCCAAACGGCGAAGAGATGTAGGGAAAAGATATGAAAGGCGGCTGAAAATTTGGATAAGATATAATATGTATTGGAAGTTCGAATGTGATTCGGGACATGTGATATGCGATGGAGATATGAGAATGAGAAATTAGATATGAGATGGAGATATGTGCGAATGAGATATGAGAATGAGATATGCGAACGAGATATGAGAATGAGATATGAGAATGAGATATGCGAATAAGATATGAGAATGAGATATGAGAATGAGATATGAGAATGAGATATGCGAATCAGATAAAGGACACATGAGAATCAGACATGACAATGAGAATCAGACATGACAATGAGATATGAGAATCAGATAAAAGAGACGTGAGAATCAGACATGAGAATGAGACAGGTAATATAGACATGAGATATAGACATGAGATGTTGTGACGAGAAGCGAAATGCGAATAATGGACCAGAATGAGAGTGAAGGTGGTTTACGACAACAGGAATAGAAAAACGCCCGAAGCCGACATGAAAAAGAAAAAAAAAAAACAGAGCACCCTGCGTACTGGACAGCAGACAGCTCAAAGCCTGGCCTCTCTACAGCCTCGCCCACAGACACTGATACCACAATTCTATTGTTTGCGCTTTTTACATACCACGACGCCGCTCACATCAAGCCCTTGTTCTTGAACTCTTGCAACAAGGAGTTGCCCAATCTGGCGGGCGACTGCTCCACGACGACACCGGCAGACTCCAAGGAGGCAATCTTGGACTTGGCGTCACCCTTGCCGCCAGCCACAATGGCTCCCGCGTGGCCCATGCGTCTGCCTGGGGGCGCGGAAACACCGGCAATGAACGACACCACCGGCTTGGGGCCCTCGGGCCGGGTCAAGTTGTGCTGCTTCAAGAACTCGGCAGCCTCCTCCTCGGCAGTGCCACCAATCTCTCCAATCAAAATGATACCCTCGGTCTCCTTGTCGTTCAAAAACAAGGTCAACGCGTCGATGAAGTTGGTGCCCGGGAAGGGGTCGCCGCCCATGCCAATGACCAAGGACTGGCCCAAGCCCACCTGCGTGGTTTGCGCCACGGCCTCGTAGGTCAAGGTGCCGGACCGGGAGATGATGCCGACGCGGCCTCTCTGGTGGATGTGCGAGGGCATGATGCCGATCTTGCACTGGTCAGGCGCAATCAAGCCCGGGCAGTTGGGGCCCACCAATCTGGTCTTGGACTGGGTCTTCAAGATCTGGGCGATTCTGACCATGTCGAGCTGGGGGATGCCTTCGGTGATGGCCACGGCCAACGCGATCTCGGCCTCGATGGCCTCCTCGATGGCCTTGGCGGCAATGGAAGGGGGCACGAAGATGCCGGTGGCGCTGGCGCCGGTCTCCCTCATGGCGTCCTTGACAGACGCGAACACGGGGCGGTCCAAATGCTGTGTGCCGGCCTTCTTTGGGTTTGTGCCACCCACCACCTGCGTGCCGTAGGCGATGGCCTGCTCCGCGTGGAAAGTGGCCTGTTTGCCGGTGAAGCCCTGGTAGATCACCTTGGTGTCTTTGGTGACCTTCAAGTTCTTGATGGTGGAGGCATAGTTTTTGGCGAGCGGGGTCGAGGCAAAGCCACGGGCAAATTGCTTGGACAACATGGTTTTCTGGACGGGGGCGGAAAGAGGTGTTTTGTTCAACAGGAAGAAGAAGCGCTGTTGGTGGCCGAAAAACAAGATCTGAGGTTTCCCGCAATTCGCATGCTTTGTGAGCATCGGGCGTATAGTCTCCGCCGGGAGGGCAGCGACACCCGTACACCAGGCTTGTTCAGGCGCTGACAGCACGGCGACGCGCCTCGTCCCGCAACGAAGCCCACAGCGTGTGCCGTGCCAATGGCCGAGGCTCGCACTCCATTCCGTGCATCGCCGGGGCCGGGTCGATGTGCAGGACAATGCCATCTGGGCAAATCTCCAAGGGTGTCGGCGGCGGGGATATATTGTTATGCTGGGCATCTGAGGGCCGGGCGGAAGGTGGCGGTGCGGGTGGTGCCAAGGCCCGGAATTCAAAGCGTTTTTGCGGCGTTTGCTGTTGCATTCTTTGCGTGTCCAGCTGGAGCCCAGTGCTATACGCAGGCCCAATGGAGAGCTCGGACAAGCAATATTCTCGGACAGGCAGGACCCAGGCCCGGGACCCAGGCCCTAATTAAGTGCCGGTCTGCTCGAACCCACAGAAAGACGTGTGGCGCCAACCACCAGAAATTAGGTTCGGGCCCTCGGACTGGCGGAAAGGCCATGGCGGGAGAGTTTCTGTTCTCTAAAAAAAATAGTATTTCTCTTCGTTGACTCTCATTCCAATGACGTCAGACAAGGGTGCGACTGCTGCTTAACTATTAACCATTATGCCGCTGCACTATGGGCGTGGTGCAATCGCCCTGATTCGCTGGGCACAATTGTTTGTGGAAAGCACCGGCGATTATGAAGAGTAAGCCCTGTACTACAATCAAGATACGGGCACGTGACCAAGCGTTCTCCTGCCCAGACGGTCAAAGCCAGCCGCACGCGTTGGCCCGAGGCATCCAGGTTATATTAAATGCGCCGAGGGACAAGCTGTATAATCTGGTCGCAGAAGGTTTTCTCAATATTCAGAGCATAGAGTGATACCACCTCTTGTAGTATTTATGCAACCTATTGTAGTCTTTATGCACCATCTTGTAGTCTTTATGCAACCTCTTGTAGTCTTTATGCAACCTCTTGTAGTCTTTATGTGACCGCTCGTAGTCTTTATGTGATCTTTCAAAGTGTACGTATAATCGACATTAATCATCATAAGAATAATAGATTTTTCAGATCCAGGTGATTTCGATAGGCGAGTGTAAAATCAATTTGTCTACCGATACTTGCTCAGATTTTCATTTACATACCTTCTATCAAAAAAAAAAAAAAAAAAAAAAAATTGCTAGAATTTCAAGATATGAGATAACACACTGAAGGTTTTACATTTTCAAGGTGGTCGTTGTGAGAATGCTTCAGCTGCTCAGATTCACGCCAATCAGAAAGACAAGATAATTCGTTCACCAAATGTATTCTTGACCATTTACCCCATGAGCTGAACCACAATATCCCAAAAGCCCCTTTTCTCATCTCTAAAGAACCACAGGTCATCTTGTTTCTTCCTTTCTTGTTGAAAAAGACTCAAATTAGAATATTCCGGAATGATCCTGATGTAACTTTAGTTTTGCGAGACACTGGGATGGTCTCTTCGGAGAAAATTTGCACCTTGGCTTGAAAGATCTTTGTCGAACATAATTCAGCTCCCTAAGAGGGATCTCCATCAATCCGGCTGTAAAAAAACAAGAGACTACTCATATGGGCCTCCTGCCTCTTGCAAAATCATCTAAAGCCAAACTTTTTGATGCTAATTAGAGGGACAAAAATATTTCATCTCTTAATAATCCCAGAGGGGAAAAAGAAAATCATATTTCGACTGATGAATATGACATACAAAACCCTCACATGGATCAAAACGAATAGTCAAAAATGTATGCAATTGAATTTCATGAAGACATGTGCCATTTTTCTTCCCCACTATAATAGAAGCTAGTGGCTGGTTCTTGACTACAAGCAGATTGATTGATTATTTGGCATAAATCAAAAACCCCACTCTATTTGTGGCTTTCCGGTTATAAACTCTTAATCCCTAAACCTTAAGATGCGTGTTTCCCACCACTCTCTTTAGTCACATTCCTCTTTTTTTACCTTGCGAGGTTGCTCGGGGTCCTCAATTTTGTTTTTTTGGTGAATACAGTTTATTCAAGGAAAATTATACAACAATACACATAGAGACCTTCAATCAGCTCCTAGACACGTTTGGAATTTTTTTTTTTGGTAGATTCATCTGATTAAAGGGGCAAAACTATATAACGAATATATATAAAAAATCTTTAAACAGCTCCCAGCTACGTACCAAGTGTCTTAGCTCGGCCCCTCCCCTTCCGTTAGTCACGGCTTGGACAGTCCTAATGGCACGTATCTGTTTACGTATTGGATATTACGTCATCGACTCCTAGGATAGGTAGTATTTCTATTCTGTGATTAAGGGATACTCTCCGACCAATCCTGATATGCACATGTAACCGTCCCCGTAAACAAGATGTAGCTCTATTTATATAAGAAACATTCATTATATATTCGTATCATAACAAATGTCGGTTGCGGCCATACCATGCAGAAAGCACTGTTTCCCGTCCGATCAACATTTGTTAAGCTGCATAGGGCCACACTGAGTAGTGTAGTGGGAGACCATATGCGAAATTGTGGTGCTGCAATCTTTTTTTGTATGTTTTGATTTTTGAACCCGTCAGGGATACCTGATCAAATAATACCAACCTAGAAAGTTTCTTATATTTACTTTTACTGCGCAATACTGTTTGAAACTGGGCCTCAATTACAATTACTTATGTAATTTTTGTAAGAGTCTCCTGCATTATCCATCCCAGAAATACACATTCTTTTCATTAAATCAATTTGAGTACTGCATTCATTTTCTGGCTGGGGATACATCATTCTCGTTCAGAGACATGCCTTTGTGATGACTTCAAGTATAGACCAATTTTAGGTTGAGTCCAACTCTCAATTTTTGAGCATTCCTTCGAGACTAAAAATACTGAAATAAGGCCAGAGACGGATGACTACTTTGAGGCGTATTATGAGTCCTGAAGTTTTAACAAAAGTCAATTATATGGAGCCTATATATAGACTATCTCCCCTCACATAATGATAACCTGACTACATATGGTTGAACTCGAAGGCTTGAAATCACTTTTTTGGGCCCCTAGATATACTGGTACCTCAGACAGTTTTACAAATACCCGAAATGTCTTGTGTATTTGAAAACCTTGACAACTTCACAAAGTGACTAACGAGCCCAAAGACTGTTTTTTTTCGAGGAATATCATCAAATGATGGCCACAATAACCAACATCCACTAAAGCACAACACACAGGAGCAATACCTACTATGTGAACAGAATACATTTGAAAGTATCCCAAACAACCCAAGACCTTGGTGCCTGTATTTTTCTTGAGAAGTTGTTGTTTCCAAAAGAGTTCTTTGCAAATTCAAAGACCAACAAAAGAATAGAATGTTACCACCCTGTACATGCAAGCATTGAACTGAATTCTTAGCATTTCCTTTCACACCCCGACAAACCATAGATCAATAGTTAAACAAACTCTTGTAGTAAAGGCACCGTGAGTTCAAAGTGTCCCAGTCATCTTTTGTGATCCACATTTCGTTGATGACTTTCAAGCGACTATACACACTGCCGCCCTTCCAAGAAAGCACCCGTGGGTCTAGCTCTTTTGGTGCCGGGAGAACATTCACCGCGATGACTGAGCCATCATCCGCCACTGCGTCGGCCTTCTCAAGATCAATTGTTAGTGCGGTATCGGCATCGATTTTCTTCATATCTTGCTCTGATAGCTCAACCTCATCTGCAGACAGCGCTCCTTTCTTCTTTGCCTTGGCATCGCTGATCATTTGCTTCTTTTTGATTTCCAAGCGGTCTTTTTCCTTGCCAACGTAACTCAAGATGTCGTCTAAACTGGAGGTGGATAAGAAGCGAGGCCGCCAGATATTAATTCTATCGGTGAGCAACATGTCGAATCCCGGGAAGCGGGCCAAGCCGCCCCCAGTGACAAGGATGTTGTCGTACAATTTCTTTGCCTTGTTGAAGTCCGTGGCGATCCCAGCATTTGTGATCGACTCGATGATCGCCTTGTCCAACGGCACAGCGAAGTTCTTGGTGGAATCTTCAGTCGAGCCTGCTCTGTTGGGCACGGGCTTGCCATAGGCGGCGTTGGCCGTCTTGAACACCTGTTTATCCTCTATGATTTTCAAAAGCAAGGCTTCGTCGCTCATTTCCGTGAAGCCCTTTCCAGCGACGAGGTTTTCCTGTGCCTGAGAAAACGGGTTGTTGGGTTCGCCGGTGTAGTGGTCGTAGGACTCGGGGAAGAGCGTTTTGCTCTTTGTTTTGTCGGATAGCTGGAAGAAGTCCGGGTAGAAAAGGCCGAGGGGCGCAAGCATGACCTCGTCGAAGACCTTCAAGTTGTACTTCTCCGTCTGTCCGCCCGCTTTGCGGCGGTAGAAGTTGTATAGCTGCACGGCGATGTCCGCGTCGTCGAACGTGCAGAAGTTGCGCTTCAAGCGGTCAAGCAACTCCCAGTCGTCGTTCCGGTCGTGGAGGTTGATGTCCTGGATCGGGAAGTTCTGCTGCAAGAGCAACTTGGCGAACGTCTCGGTGATGTTGTCGCCGCCGTAGTCCAAGCTGACCCTGGAGTCGTTGATGACCATGCCCTCGTCGACGCACGAGACCGTGGTCTTTTGGGCGCCGACGTCCACCACGCACGCACTGGAGGAGCCCGCGCCAAAGGTGGCGGCCACGGCCTCCTGGATCACGCCCACGCGGGCGAAGCCCATCAGCCCCAACAAGATCTCCACCCAGGTCTCGACCACCTCCTTGTCGTAGAAGTCGGGGATGATGAGGAGGCACTTGAGCCTGCGCGCGTCGGCCGCAGGCACGCTGATGGCCTTGAGGGCCTCGTGCAAGATCCGCGTGATGTCGCCGATGAACTCCTGTGGCGATGCGTAGTCGGCCCGGTCCTGGTTGAACGTGCCGTTGACGATGGGGTAGCGGAGCCGCCAGGCCGTGTACGCCGCGCTGAGCGGGAGCCTTAACGCGTCCGCGCCCGCGAAGAAGTCCCGGCTCGCCAAGAGCGCGTCGTTTGTTTCATAGAACTCCTTGTAGTCCGGGTCGGCGTTGTCCGGCACCATCTCGGGCCGCTGCATGCGGTTGAAGTTGGCCGCGCTCTCGCGCGAGTTGGGCATCATGCGGCGCTTGTAGAAGCGCATGCGGGCCTTGAAGTCCTTGGTCACCGTGGCCTTGATCGCGTTGAACCGCTCGCCAAAGTCGTAGTCGCCGTCGTCGTAGCGCACGCGCCGGGGAACCTCGGGATACGTGTCCAGACCGCCGGGGTTGCGCACCGCCACCACCATCGGCACGTCCGTGGGGAAGCTGTCCGTGGCACGGCCGATCCGGAGGACCTGGGACCCCGGGTGGAGCACCAAGGTGTCGCTGCCCATCTTGGCGGCGCCCGCGCCCGGGTCGTCGTCGTTGTCGTTGTCGTTGTCGTCGTCGTTGTCGTTGTCGTCGTCATCGTTGTCGTCGTCGGCGGGCTTTTTGGCGTCCGAGCCGGCGCTCTTGAGCGCCGCGTCCTTCTGTTTCTCGTTGCGCCACGTGCGCACCACCGTGATCTGGTCGTCCTTCTTCAAGTACTCGGCGAAATAGTTCTTCTGGTTGATCAACGGGATGGTTTTCACGCTGGTCAAGGCAAAGCCGTTCTCCTCCTCGAAGCGGCCGATGCCGCTCTTCTTCAAGTTCTGGGCGATGGTCTGTGCGGCCTTGATGCGGCCCTCGCGGCGGCGCTGGAGGGCCTCCTCCGAGGACTTTTTGGCCGGCTGCCCGGAAGCGGCGGGCTTGGCGCTGGCTTTGTGGCGCTTCTTGTCGTGTTCGCCCGGGCCGTCCTTGGCCGCTTCGGGCGCGTCGTTTTCGCCGGGCTGGGGGCCGGGCGACGACGGCAAGGCCACGAGCTCGTCGGCCTCGGACTTCAATTCGGGCACCGCAGACATCGGGGTGTGTTATGTATCTTTTTTGGGCGGTGTTCGCTTGTGGCTGTGGTGTAGTGACCAGCCTGGCTGATGTGAGCAGTGAATTCGCGGGACAGCCGGACGCGCGCACCAGCTAATGAGCATGTATGGTGGGAGCATGTCTAGTGTGGGCGGAGCACAGGCGTGTGCTAGAGCCAGACGGGTTACTGGGTCGATTTTAAACGTAGGAAATGAAGAAGTTGTGCTTTTGCCGGGACGCCGGAGGCCTGGTGCCGGGTGCTCTGGCCGGGGCCACGACAAACGCGGCAGCCTCGTCAGGTCTCCGTCCGCGGCTCTCAACACTCATGCCGCCTCCCGTCCGACGCTTTGAGGCGCCGCCTTTTATCCGAGGACCCAAAACACGCCTCAAGGCCGGAAGACCCTCGCGCTCTCATCTTTAGACTCAATACACTTCCGCTCCCCAATGCAAGAGACACGCTCTCATCCAGACATCCCGAGCGCGGCCTGCGCCCGGACTCGTCTTCCGTCTGCTCTCCGCCTAGGCGCCCTGGCGTGCTGCCCGGTGCGCGTGGCTGGCCGTAGCTTGGCCCGCCGCAGGGGCGCCCCCGGGCCAGCCCGGCATGATCCGGCCGGCTGTGCTCAGTAGTCCAAGGCGATTTTGGCGCGCGGGCCGGGCTGCCGCTCACGCGAGGCCTGCTTGCGCATGGAGTCCACGGGGCCCGCGCCCAGGCCGCCTGGCGCCGCGGAGAAGCGCTCCGCGCTGGACACCTTCGACGTCAGCGGCGCCAGGGCGCTGATCCGCGACGACGAGTTCAGCTTGCGGTGCTTGGAGAGGGTCATGACGCCTTCGGCCATGTTGTTCTCGTTGTGGTAGTCCCAGAGCCGCCTCTTCCACTCCGAGAGGCTGTTGTGCAATTCATGGAGCTTCACAAGGCTCTTCTTTTTCTCCGCGTGCGAGTTCTTGCGCGAGTCCCGGCTCAACTGCCGGTGGAGCCGCTCGTACTCCTTGTACCGCAGGCGGAACTTGTCCGCGAGCTGGGAGTAGTACTGCTGCTTCTTGTCGTGGCTGGAGAACGAGCTCGAGGGCCTGCTCGGAAGCGACGCGGCCGGCTTCGCCGCGCCCGCCGGCCTCGTGTCGGGGTCGCTCGGGTCCAGAGCGTGCTCGTCGTTCACGGACGACGGCAGCGTGTACGAGGCGTTGCTGGTCACGCTGCGGCTGCCCTGCGTGCCGGAGTTGGCACGGCGCTTCATGCGGGCGGCCGCCCCCTTGGCGAGTTTCTCGTCATCGGAAGACAGCGAGAGCGCCGCGGCGGTCCCTTGGGCGAGCGTCGGCCGCGCGGCCCCGGCCTTGCGGGCAAATCTCTTGCGGGCCTCGCTGCTGAGCGTCGGCGACTCGGTGGATGCACGTGCCGAGGCGCTGGTTTGCGAGAGCGGCGAGCCCGGGCCCGGCACGGCCGGCTCCAGCAGGCTGGCGGGCGGCGGCGGCTTCTTGGCGCTGCTCACGAGGAGCCCGCCCCCCAACGCCGCGGCCCTGTTGGCGCTGCGCGGCGGACTGCCCCGCTCCACGATGCGGCGCCGGAGCGGGTGCGTGTCCAGGAAGCCCTGCCTGCCGAGCGCGTGGTGGCAGTTGTCGATGATGAGCGTGCGCTCGAAGTCCGTGTACGCGTGCCACTGCCAGGGCCTGAGCTCCTTGTAGGCCTTGTCCTTGAGGATGACGTACAGCTTGTGCAGCGCGGCGTCGGGCGCGGCGCCCGCGGCTAGCGGGTACACGTCGCTGTCGGTGAACGTGTCCTTGCGCCAGTACGGCTGCGTGTGGGACGCGAAGAGAAGGTCTGCTTGCGCGGGCAGCACGAACCGCGCGAGCTGGAGCCGGTCCTCGATGGCGGGCCGCGTCATCGGGCCCAACGCGAGGAGGGACACGAACTTGGTGACGCGGTCCGCGGGCGCGTCGCTGGCCGTGAAGCAGTAGGCCTTCAGGCCGATGGAGCTGGGCTGGCCATGCCGCGGCAGGGCGGCCCGGCCGGGCCCCGCCGGGTTGGCGGCGCGCGGCGGGGCTGGCGGCGCCAGCGCCTCGACGCGCCCGTGCTCCTTGATCTGCTTGGGGTCGCTGAGCACGCTGAGCCGGCGGGTGACTGTGCCTGCGAACGAGTAGTCCCGTGACGCGGCGGCCGTGGCCGAGTAGACGTCGAGCCGGAGCGTCTCGGGCGCTGCCAGGCAGGGGAACAGGAGCGTGTCGGATATCTTGACCAGCTGGAGTGTTAGTAGGGGTCGGGGTGGGTGTGTATAGATCTGGTGGGGCCGTTGGTCGTGGCTGTGGTCGTTGGATCCGGGAGAGTCCGGGAGAGTCTGCTTCTCTCTGCTTCGGTGCTGTGGGCCAGTGCGGTCTGTTTCGGCATGGTTGGTTCTACTTCGATCTGTTCGGGCATCTGTGGATCTGTTCGGGCATCTGTGGATCTGTAGGCGTGGGAACTGCCCAGGGGGCCGAGGATACATACGAATTTGCCGTCCTTCACCACGAGTTTGGGCGCCACGTGGGCGCGGCGGAGCGCCCGCAACTGCTGCAAGACCTCCGGGGTCAATCGCAACGCCACGGCCGCGGCCCGCGGGTCGGCGGGCGGGTGCAACGTCGAGATCTGCGGGGGCATGTGCGTGCAGCCAAAAGCGGGGCAGCGGGCCGGCGGCGGCTCGAAGAGTGGGCCGGGTCCAGGGGCGGCGGCCAGGTGATCTGCGTGTGGGGAACAGGAAAAGGCCCGGCGGCGGACGGCGGGGCGGTGGCTTTTTGCGGCCCGAGGCTGGTGCTGGTCGATGTGGGGCGAGAAGAGAGAAAAAAAAAAGGCACTGGGAAATGGGCCGGTTCCGTGCAGAAAAACCGGGCTGGGGACGGGAAGAAAAAAAGGGTGCCAGCACCCAGGCCCACCAGGCCCAGCGGGTCGCGGCGTGTAGGGCGCACCGACACCGCGGGGCCTGGCGGGGCGAATCGCAGGGCACGGCGCGGGGCAGGGCCGGGCGCGGGGCGGCGCTTGTCCATGCGCTGCCGTGTTGAGGCAGGCTGCTGGAGCTAAGCTGCTGGAGCCGGCCGCGATCTTTTTGGAATGCCGGATGCAAGGGGCGCGGCCGGGGCATGGTGATGTGGTGGTTGTGCTGGATTGTGGGGGATGCACTGTGTGGTCAGACGTGTGGCGATGGACTAGTAGGGTGTGCTGTGGTGGATACTGTGTGGGAATGTAGCATACTGTGTGGGAATACAGTGTTTCCTATTGTAGTGACTCTATTCCACTGTATGGGAATATACCGTGGTGGGTTGCATGGTAATATAGTATACTGTATGGTAATACAGTGTTCCATATTGTAGTGACTCTATCACACTGTATGAGAATATACCGTGGTGGGTTGTATGGTAATATTGTATACTGTATGAGAATATACCGTGGTGGGTTGTATGGTAATATAGTACACGTATGGTAATACAGTGTTTCCTATTGTAGTGACTCTATCACACTTTATGAGAATATA